TATTCATATAGATTCCATAATATAGGTTTTACTTAATTAGCTATTATGTTTCTCTAACTCTTCAAATGTTGAATGTATAACTAATTCTAATTTCTATTTTTCCATCTTTACGCTATATTAATTTTATCTTATAATTGTCCCCTGTTCTGTCAGCCATGAAATAAGAATAATAATTGTTTGTACATCAAATCGTCGTTAAATTAAGTGGCAACAGAAGAATTATCGTTGAATTTTTAAAAGGTAAGCTTAAACATTAATTCACTACTTAAATGCAACGATCAAATTTGAGTTCTTCTGTACTTTATTGATGCCTATCTCATCTACTGCTTGACTATGGTGATGATTCTGCTGTCTTGGTTTCCTGTACTCGTTCGATTCATCGAAATATTTCTTGTTAATTTTTCATGTTGTTATTGTTGCTTGTGCTTTTTTAGTAGTAGTTATTTTCTTTTTTTCTTTTTTTTCTTCCTATCTTCTTTTTCTCTCCGGTATTATACACATTATTATATTTCTTCTTCTTGTCATTCCTTTCTTTTGTGTATATTTATTTATTTCTCTTCTTCTTCTTCCACTTCTTCTTCTTCTTCTTCTTCTTCTTCTTCTTCTTCTTCTTCTTTTTCTTTTTCCTTCTTCCTGTTATTCTTCTACTCCGTCTTCCTTCTTCTTCTTCCTCTTTTTACCTCCTACTTCTTTTTCCTTCTTCCTTCTTGTTCTACTACTACTTCCTTCTTCTTCCTCCTCTTTTTACCTCCTAATTCTTTTTCCTTCTTCTCCTTCTTCTTCTTCTTCTACTCAGTCTTCCTTCTTCTTCTTCCTCTTCTTCTTCTGCTTCTTCTTACTATTTATACTTCTTATTTTATTTCTTCTTATCTTATTTTTTCTTTACGTTAATTTTTTTCTTTTTATTATATACATCTTCTTCTATTTCTTCGGGTTTTTCTTTTCTTATCTTGTTTTTGTTATTATTATTATTATTATTATTATTATATACGCTGTGCATCTTCAGGACGTTAAAGATCATGGCTCTCTACAATTTCCTGTCTTAGTGAATTTTATCTTTTTATCTCTCTTAAACCATGTTCTGCCATGCTTTGGCACGAGTTCGTTAAATAGCTTATGTGCTGCTTTCCTCTGTCCCTCTTGCCTTCAATATGTCCTATGTGTACCAAAGTTTCCAAACCCTCTTTCCTTATTATGTGCCCTAGAAATGTTTTTTTTCTGATGTTAATTATGTGTCTTTTTTTTCAATTTTCTCTAAAATTCCGTTATTACTCCCGTGTTTAGCTCATGGTATTCTCAGCATCCTTCTGTAGAACTACATTTCTGTTGCCTTAAGTCTTTTCTTCACCCCTGAGAAGATAGTCCAGCATACACTGCCATATAGCAGTACTAATATCACATAACAATTCAGGACTTTTTTACTTTGTTTCTAACGAAATACTTTGCTTAGCTTTTGAAAGGCATCTTTCGTCATCTCAATGCGCTTTCGTATTTCCGTGTCGCTCTTTTCAGCTATTTAAATTGTTATACATGCTCGATTTTGGTATCTCCAATTTGTAATATGCATGTTTGAGGTTTTCCACTGAGAGTGGAAAACCTCATGATGCCATTTCTGACCTTAGGTCTCTGTGCGGGACCAGGAAAGAAGTGTGTACACACCAGAAATCAAAGGAAATTTAATAATAATAATAATAATAATAATAGCGAGATATGTGCACTAGAAGATATGCAAGAAGCACCGAATCGAAATCACTGAGAGATGGTATGAGCACCAACCAGGCACAGTTACCCAAAATAACGATGTAACTATCCACAGGGACATGCCAAAAAAAAAAAAAAAACACATACTTTACATAGATAAAGTCCTTCGTAAGATGTGGGCTGTACTCGTGAGAACATTTTTTTTGTATTTCTTTAAGGCATGGACTTCCAGTAATCCCTTCAGTTGGTCTACTGGAATTTTTTCCAACCAATCCGAGGGCTCCAACTACAACAGGGATTGTTGATGTTCCCATGTGCCACATTTTCGAGATTTCTATTTCATGGTCCTTGTATTTTGATAGCTTTTTTGAAGATCTTCAAAGATACATTGCAGTCTGCAGGGACTGCCATATCAATAAGAAAACACTTTTTTGTTTGCAGTCTCTAATAATAATATCTGGACGGTTGGCTTTGATTGTTCTGTCTGTGTGTCTTGTGTAGTCCCATAAAATTGTTATTATTATTATTAAACTGGGTCTTTGCATAGCACATACGATACGCTCTACCAATACCTCATAAATAATGAACTATTCCGTTTTGATCACGAGGAATGTGGAAAAAACATATGAGAGACGCTGTTTGGTTTCAAACAGAAAAGGAATTAAAAGAAAAGAGAGACGAGGTGATAATGCTCTTAAATGTTTAACGTCTGCTTCAGTGAAATGGAAAAACTTTTCAATTTTTCATGCTTTTATTTTATCCCATTAATTCTTTAAATAATGACCTGGATTCAAGTTGTTAAGATTAAATATTTAACGATGTCATATGGGGAAATTCCACGTTATCTGTCGTCCTGAAAGTCGCATTTAACTTATTTATTCATGAAATATTATCAGACATCAGAAAGATCAAATAAGAATGACCTTTTCCTTTATCATTTTAATCATTTCACCACAATCAAGTCAATTAAGTTGTTGTGAGCCGGTGTATGCGTTGAAAGATAAAGACGTTTGTCTTCTGAAATGCCCAGAACAAACATGGCAGACTCGGAGTATTAGTCCAACTAAAGAAATGTATAAAAGCAACAAGAATCGATATATATGTGCAAACAAATGATAATTTATTAACAAACAAAAGGGTTACAAATGACAAAGACAATAATGTGTGCGTGACAAATGAGTGGGAAACTTTTTAATCTAAAGTAAGTGTAGTGAGTGAAAGTGCGTATATACGTGTATGTGTATGTATTGTTCAATGGTGGGAAAAGCGCAATCTTCTGCGAGAGATTTGCAATGTTGTCGGTAAAGTAAGACAAGGGGACGAGAAAAGATATCGCCGAGTATTTATAGTGTTAGAGAGCGTCCCCTAGGAGCAGTTTGGAAAATTAGGAGAATTAGGCTGAAAAAAGCCACCAAGTCCAGGATTTACTGAGTGTTAGAAAATATGAGAAGAATAATAAAACACAATTAAGGGGAGGGAGAGAGAGAGAGAGAGAGAGAGAGAACAATGAGAGAAAAGAAGTTAAGAAGACAGAAGATAACGATCGACATTACTTTTAAAAGTTGACTGGGAAGCAAGAAGCCGGAAGAGAGTTCCATAAGCGAGAAGTGCGTCAGACAAAAAACTGTTAGATTAAAATTTAAGGTTACCTCTCGCCATTTCAACTGTAAAATGATGAGAACTTTCCGCTAATCTAGTACTGCGCTTAAATTCATAATGTCTAGGTACAAAAGAGAAAAGTAATATTGATTTTGCAAATACGAAAATAAGGTACAAGGCCAAAAGGACGGACTAAGGGAAGGTTGGTCTTCAGCCTGTCTTAACTTAAACTTAGCTAGCCACAATTACTGACCCAAACATACCACAGTTTTCTTTACACTAAAACAACACATTCTTACTTACCATTCTTACTACAGCCACCATAATACCTCAGTCTCTATGAAGACTTAACTAGCTCCCAAATGTACATTTTTCCGTCGGGGCTAGAGATAAAAGAACAATCACCTCGAAAATATTTATAGAAAAGACACAGGGAAACTGTGTGGGAAAGTGACTGAAATTAAGATGCGAGGTTTAAGGGTTACTGACCCGGAAATGTCTAATAATCGTATTTATATTATCACAAATGTAACACAAAATAATGAACCACAAGAGAACAATGATATTTACGACAAGAGTAATTTGTATAACAATAAATAAATTTCATATCACTAAGGTACAAACGAATGTTGAAGAAGTTGTTAAAAAAATTCAAATGTTCTTGTCTTTCAAGATATGTCTTTTGGTTATGTTCTGCTCTGGTAGATTTTGAGTTACGGAGTAATTTGTGTAATAATGAGAAAGTACAATTCAGTATAATTTTGTTTGTGTTGAAAATAAACAGTTTAAGATTTTCGAAAAGTTGTGTGAGTCAGTGAGTGAGGGAATGAAATGTGCTTTGTGTTTTTGGCTAGATTGTCTTTGTCAGCTTTAGTTTGCTTGCGTCGAAAAAATATTTCAATGTTAAAGAATTTTAACGTATAGCCTGAAAACATCATGCGGTATAGCTCTTGGCTGAATTTTCTCACCTCACTGTCCGTTTCTGAATTTTGTGTCGTTAATATACACAATATGCATCACGTGTTAGGCTCCAGAAATATGGGGCGCAAACGTATTTTTTCAGGGTCAAAATCAGGGTCGGCAACTTCGTTCGTAGGTGACGACATATAATTGACATTTTTAAACCAATCGAAATGTGTCAATTGTACAACTGAATTTGGAGCCTGTAATTTGGTGTTTTTAAAGATAATATAGATTATGGATTCTATAGATGTCAGGACTAATGTCATTGCAGATTCTTCTTTGGATTTTATCAAGAATCTTTCTAAATATATAGCACCAGAACAGATGTGGGTAAAATATTTAAAGTATAGACGAGTTACTGCTAGTAATTACTCTTATTTTCTTTCCTGTCATCGTCTTCCATATTGCTATTGTTGATGTTCTTCTTCCAGGCCTTCTTCTCTACTTCTTTCTTTCGCCCTCTTCCTTACCTAGCCCCCCCCACACACACACACACAAACACACAAACACACCAAAAAATGGATTATTACACTTTTCTCATTCTTCCTCGTTCCCGCCTAATTTTGACGTTCTCCCTGAAGTGAACATAATGAAATGAATCTTAGCATTTTTTTTCCAGTATAAACAACTCCGTTAACGAACATTTGTTTGTAGTATTGCACATGCACAAAGTGCTAAGATTTCTTTTGCATTTTTCGCCAAGGCGAAAATTAATCTCGATTGTTCTCAGGCGAGAAATGTATCTCGCCAATTCCTTTCGCTCGCCCGAACACCATAGCGTTGAAAACCATCGACAGGGCAGTCATTTTCACAAGTTAATTCGACATTCAGAAAAATAGCGGCTGTCATCGGATTAATCTGCGAAATGATAGGCCTTTTCCCGCTTTTTCTTTAATTTTCTTTTATTTGTACTTCTCGCTACTCGAGTGAAGCAAGTCTTCAAGGCTTGAACTAGGAAAGGGACACAAACATACTGCTTCTCCTACTCTCTCTTTTTTTCTCTCTATCTCTCATTTCTCACTCACTCGCTCACACAGGGCAGACTCACTCACTCACTTATATGTTCTTTCTATGTCACGCACACACTCTCTGTCGCTCACATATGCACACTATTTCTGTCTCATTCATACGCTTTCTCCTTCTTGCGCTCTCTCACTGTTTCACACTTTTCTCTCTTGTATACTCTTTCCCTCTCTTGCACTCTCTTTCTCTCTCACATATTCTCTCTGTCTCACACGCATATATATATATATATATATATATATATATATATATATATATATATATATATATATATATATATATAGTGTATTAGAACAGCAGACCCTGTCTGAATGCACACACACATATATATATATATATATATATATATATATATATATATACTCATGCGCACACTTTCTCATTCATATACACTTTTTCTTTTCACACACACGTAGTCTGTCACTTACATATCCATACACAGAATCTTTCTCATATACGCACTTGCATGCTCTCTCTCTCTCTCTCTCTCTCTCTCTCTCTCTCTCTCTCTCTTTCATATACACACACATATGCACACAAATGTGCACACCACCATACCACTAGTCTTTCTTTACATATTCGCTAACAAAGAAGACAAACGAAAACATGTACACTCACATGAAACAATCGCTCACACATACACAGAAACACACGCGCAAACGTGAACATACACACATATACATGCAAACATATATAAGTAAAAATATACATACACACTTACAAGCCCACAAATCTGTTTCCAACCATGTGCACATGTACGGTCGAATCACGGACTCAAATCAACAGACAAAAACACAGATCTCTCTTTTCTCGCTTTTTCATTTTCTCTGACAGTCTGTCTGTTTGTCTGTCTCTATCTATCTCTCTCTCTCTCTCTCACACACACACACACACTTGCACTAAGCAGAATCCCCTATGAATAAAAAATCTCGCTGTCAGATATACGCGCACTGTTTCTAAGGCTTCGATCAGCCTGTAACGCTTTCACAGTCGCCAAGATATATACATGATTATTAATATTTTTCTCCATTTCATTAATTTCACAGCATCTTCGCTATTCTCTCTCTCTCACACACACACTATATATATATATATATATATATATATATATATATATATATATATATTTCTCTTTCCCACTGATACACGCTTTAAGTCATACTTGCACACACGAAAAATGTTTCCCCTTTTAGACATACAGCTACGCATTCTTTTACATTTTTTTTTTCGTAAAATGAGGCTTCATGATAATACAGAATTGCAGATTTTGTGCATTTATTTGGAATCGTACCCCAGGGCATTCTCGATCCGCGTCTCCAGTTGAACCCCCCCCGACCCCTGAATACATTTCTACATCCTGGTCGTCTCTTTTTATGTCAGGGGAATGAGAACGCAGAACAAAAACCTGGGCCGTTTAAGATTCTTCGAACGTTTCCCGATATTGACAAAGGACAACGGCAAGATTAAATGCTAAGAAAATGATGGCTGTTAACTGGCCAACCACCACACTTATGCATGGTTGATATGATCGAGGAGGCACGATGGAGTAATGGATAGACTCGAATTGAGGAATCGGAGAGCCGAGTTCGAATTCCACTTGAATCCATTACATTCACTTACGTGCTAATACCCTTGGGAAAGGTACGAATCCTCCAGCCATGGGTAAATAGCAGGACAGACCGGATTCTATAACCTTGGATGACAACTGGTCTACCACAGAAAGAAATTTCAACCTATGACGGGAAAATAATCTGCCTTGTCAGTCATGTATTGAAAAATACATGATCGCCTAAGCGTGTATCACGCATGGCACATAACTGACAAATATTCTATCCTCAAGCCGCTCCATCCAGAGCATTAGAAGCCGGTTCAAGCAAGGATATACTCGATATATTGAATCTAATTCGATAGTTCGATAATTCGGCGCTATATCAAGTAAAATTCGTTACCGCTTCGTCACCGAGGCCCGTTGATATGACACATGACGGTCCGGGTTCAATTCTCAGTAGAGCATGCATATTGTAGTGGATGAGCCTCAACTATAGGATTAACGAAACCGCTTTCTGCATTCTGTTGAGGTTTCTTCTAGACTCAAAGATTTACCTCCTAATAATTTCTATCAATTGTATATCCTTGCTTGAACCTTATATATGCTTATGCCCTGGAGGGATTGGGGATAGAAGTCCTGGCTTGTAGGGGCACAGACCTATGGATAAGGGACTTTGTGAAGAATGGCGTTACCTCTTCGCCACCGAGTCCCGTTGTTAAGTTTCTTGCGTTGTATCGTAATGGCCCGGGCAATTCTCTCTTTCTGAGGTCTTTGTTTTTCGTCCAACTCCGTGAATGTGTTTTTCTTATGGTAAGTCTCGAAATAAAAAAAAACACTATATAAAATCCACTACTTTTTATCCTTAATATTGAATGTTTTAAATTATTCATCTTTTTAACAAGAAAAATCATACTAACCTCTTCATTCCACGATTATCTTAAATAAACAGGTCATTTATTGGAACATAAGAATTTGGGTTTATGGAACTGTGGAATCTTTGCACAAGTAGTCGACTACACTCAAAGATGAAATAAACATTTCTACATAAAACTTTCCTAATAAATTCCAACTGGGAAAATAATTTTATTCTTCAAAGTCTTCATGTGTATTTTTTTATTAGTTAGGTGATGTATTTTTTTCTTTTTATCCTTAATATTAACTTACTCTCCTGAACTTACTCTCCTTTATTCTAACAATGTTACTTAAGATTTCCCTAACATTGTGCAAGAGATGTAGTTGGTAACTTATCTAGTAAGCTCATGTACACTAGGAATAGATCTGGTCAGGGTAATACAGGCAGTGAGATGTAGTAGAATGAGGCGGCATATCATAGATTTAGGGGTGGGCATGAGACCCTTGCACTGGCCATGATTAATATACACTGCATCGTTATTTAATCATTATCAAATTTACCCTGATTTTTCTTGACCTTGCAGCAAAAGGAAATATTCTTTCATAGAAGGTTAATGTAAAAGTTTCCATTATTTTTGTTGCTTCAAGTCTCTTCTTTATCTATGTATCTATGAAGAGATTGTCCGGCATTCACTGCCATATAGGAGGACTGATACTACATAACACTTCAGTAATCTTTTCTTTGTTTTTCTACCAACATTTATATACATTACAAATTAAACTAAGTACAATTAACTATTAAATGATGACAAATTTCAGTGAATTTTGACATCATTTTGGAGTCTTTTTTTGTCCAAATCTGTGAATTTATTTTGCTTATGCTAAGTCTTGAAAACAACACTATATACAATTTGCTATTTTTTATCCATAATGTTGAATGTGTTAAAATTATCCAACTTTTTTAACAAGAAATATTGATGTTGAAAATTCCTGCAAAACGTTGTTGATTTATTTAAGATAGAATGATCTATTATGATGTCTTTAATTTGGACTTAGATAGATTTTATTTATTTTCAGTTTTTCTAATTGCCTAAGATTATTATTGTACATAATTAGGTGAAAGTAAAATTTGTACTTTATATGAATAGTATCTTATGGAAAATAAGATATTATAGAGTGAGGTGGGGGGGGACATATCATAGATTGGAAGGCATGAGACCCTTACACTGGCCCTGGTTAATATACACTCATTTCATCAGTATTTAATCACCATCGAATTTACTCTGTTTTAGTCTTTAGAAGATTAATGTAAAAATTTATCCACTTATCAACATTTACTTTTTTCTACCTATATTTATAGACAGTGGCCTAAGAAAAGTTTTTGCCAGGAGAAATAAACTACATTCCAATTCAAAATTTAATGACGTAATCCCAACTTAACATAAATAAACAGTATTTGGAACAATTATGGGGTAGATTTTTAAAATAGTGGGAGTAGTCCTTTCTCTAATATTTGACAGTATTTTGGACCATTCAACCGCTCGTCAACAAGAATCAGCTCCGATTTCCCTCCAAAATTGACCGTGTCTCACACCATTACTCCAATCCCTCCATATTTGACGGTCGTCTGCAGACATCCAGTGTTCCAAGTCGCATTCGGATTTCTCCAAATATAAACCTGTCTCGAATTCGAATATTGGCAGAATTTACTTTCAACTGACCAAATTAGAGACTGCCAAATTTCATAATCTTTGCTCTGGAATTCTCTCGCCTAGTCCATACGTCTGTTCCTGTTAACCTCTGAAATCATGGTCTTCTTTCTTGCAACTCTTCTTTGATAGTCTAGCTCTTTCAGAGTCTTTCTCACCGCATATGTAGAGATTTCCATGCTTTTGGCGATATCGTTGACGCTCTGGCCACAGTTCATGAAGACTTCCCTCTTCAGCGCCCTTTTTCGTTTGCTTGGTCACGATGCTTGGTCTTCCTGAACGACTTCATTTAATTTCTTGATATTATCATTAACTGACTGATGATTAAACTGAAAAACCTAGCAATTTCTCTATTAGACTTGCCATATTTATACCATCCTATTATTCGCCCTCGTTGAAATTCACCAATTTCCTTACTTCCGCGAACTTTCATTGCAAAATATTAGTCAATTATCGTTCATAGATTAGAGAAGATTGATACTAACACGGTATAGTCTGAAAAAAAGAAGAGATGTTATTACACAAGCCAAAATCAAGTGTGGCTAAAACATATCATGGTCCACTATACATTACAAATTAAACTAAGCACAATTGATTATTAAAGGATGAAAAATTTTAGTGGATAATCACATTATTCCGTGGTGTTTTTTGTCCAAATCTGTGAATTTATTTTGCTCATGCTAAGTCTTGTAAACAACGCTATATATAATTCGCTATTTTTTTTTATCCATAATGTTGAATGTGTTAAAATTATCCAACTTTTTTTAACAAGAAAAATCACAAGTCGATGTTAAAAATTTGCCCGAAACCATTGTTGATATTTTAAGATGGAATGATCAATCATGACCTGGATTTATTTTCAGTTTTTTCTAGTTGAATTGTTCATTTATATTACATGTGACCATTATTGTATATAATTAGGATACACTAAATTTAGTATTTTATATGAATACTACCTTATGAAAATTGAGATACAGTAGGGTGAGGGGGCGTATCATAGATTGTGAGGGTCAAGGTTACGACTATATACTATTGTCAATTGATTCAAACTTCAAATGGTAAATAATAAGGATTTCCTTATAGTTGGTTCACATATTCTAATAATTTAGTAAGTGCTTATAAATTTATGAATAAAAATGTTTTCATATTTATTTCTTTATAAAATGGTAAATGATTAATATAGAATTGCATTAGTTTTAATTATATTAGTCTTTATAATATTGGGATCATAAAATTATTCTTTTAAATAAGCAATCTAATAAATAAATAGTGTTTAATATTTTTGTTGTAAATTCTCAATAATAAAAAGAAATTTATAAATTCACTTTCAGAATATGTTTAGGTTTTATTACAATTCTAATAATTCTTTTTGAAAACAATAAACAGTGTCTTCTTTTTGAAAACAATAAAAATTGTCAAGGAGCGAAAGGAGTTCAAATAATAGCAGTATCTGGAAGAACCGTCCTTTTTACGAAC